GGCGGTTTTGTGTGCTTTCATTGGAAAGGAAATATCTTCATTTGTTCTGCGATTCGAATCACTTCGCCTTAACGACACATCAGTTCTTCTTCATACAATGAACAGAAAGGTTTTTGATGAGAAATCACTCTACTAATACATTTCTCAGACGAAAAAAGATCGGCAATATTGTGCTGCCGCCAAGGTAATTTTAACCTCAGTTTTTATGAAGTGTTATTTGTTATGCTTTCATTTTTGTTGAAAACATGTCCAATATTTCCATCCCAATTATATTACAAGAACAATATTTGTTAAACAGACATTAATTTAAGCACCTCCTTAGACCTGAGAAGGCTATTTGTAGGGACATTGACCGAAATACTCTTCCAATATATTTTATGTATTTATGAGCATCAAAAATATCGCCGAGCATTGTACATCGGTTATAAATAGCGATTAAAAAGCCACAAACCTTTTGGAGACCTCAAGTTAACTACCTTTTCCCTGACTAATAGCGACTAAAAATATTGTACACACTCTTTCTTCGAAAGTTCTAAAACAGGAAATAATCGTGCTAAATTACGATAAAACAATTTGAGTCTATTATTTTTCAAGCTAAGCGCGGATCCCATTACTTACCATCGCGGAAAATGTCAAAGTTTTTCTCGTCGGGTTCCGGCTTAACCAAAAAGTTTCATTAATGTCTGTCAGAGTATTTTTTTCAAGTGAAATACAAATTGGCGATATTTCATTTCAGAGCTAGCGACCGCTTCTACCTTACAAAGAAGCCATTTCAGTTCAAAGGTAGCCGATTCCGGTAATTGCGTTTTTTTTCTTTCGCATTTGATCAGGTTCCATTAAAGACACGTGCTCATACCCTCATTTGATAATTTTTCCATAAGTTTACTTTTCACTGTTGAGTTGAACAAAGATCAAGAGATAACTAATGAATTGTACCCGAGAGCGAATGGTTCTTTCTTGGTCGCCTCCAAAAATAAACTTCTTTTGTCAAAACCACGCGTAGAAGGCGTGCCTTCGTCGTGAAAAATAACACAAGCGGTTTTTGTACTCACGCGGGTTTCTTTCTTCAAGCGTAAAAAGACCCTTATCGCTCTGTTTTAGACGCTAATGGACTTACAATATAAATTTTGTCACCTTTCTAAGCGGGCGATAATTATCTGCTATAGCTTAAAAGTCCTCAGTATTCAATTCCGTTGCGATGTATAAGCGGGCACTTTTCACTACATATGCTCTTTTCAAACCAGCTTTTTGAAAGAAATCATCTCCTTGCTCAGTTTAGAAAACAGCCGTTACAAAAGCTTCGATTTGAGGGGAGCCTATCGCGATTTTTTTTAACGAAAATAGAACGATAGAAGCGAAGTCCCCATTGTTGAAAAGTTCGTTTGAAAGCTTAGTGGATTTCAAGTGATTATCTTAGAGCGCAAATCTCTCAATAATCTTTTAATGTTGTTATCTTATTGAAGAAAACATTAACCAACAGGCGGAGTTTTCCTTATTCTAATGCCGCTCACAGTCTTTGTTTCTCGTAATATGTTTTGGGTTCAAAGAAAATATTTTGTTTCAAACCGTGGCTGTTGAATGAGTTCATATCTTTCACATAAAACTGCATTTTAGTGCATTTGGCGCGAAGCGCGCGTGTGTAAATTGTGTGACACGTTGAATTACCAGCCTACAAATTGCTTCGTAACGATTGGTTAGCAACAAGAGGCAACATGAATTTAATTACACTTAGCCTAAGAGAGAGAGAAGTTGTTTGACTGTTCATCTGGTTTAATTCATCTCCCTGAAACTTCCATATGTCGCTTAAGTTAGAGCACTCGCGAAAGAAAAATAGGTTAGAAAACTGGCGGGATTATGGTGGAAGTCTGGATAGGTTCGACAGAAACGACTGGCGGAAACGAGGTCTGTACGAAGATTTATCTAACGCCACGAAGTGTGGGATCTCGCAGGTTAGTATTTTTACAGGCTTTCAATTTCTGCCCGCTGAATAAAATGTAGCTTGTGAAATTATGTCTTTTAGAGATGGCTCAAAATCATCACGGTCCTGCAAAGAAAACGTTTCGAAAAATTCAGCCAGTGTCTTAAGCTTTCTGGTTGAATCTGTCATGCAGTGGATAGAATTCAAATCTATTGGCTGATCAATGAATGTCGCTTACTCCAAAAGCAAACAAAGTTCACTTAAGTCTTTTGAACTATAAGTTGCTTTGAGTGAACGAGGTTAAACCTAAACTTAAATCGAATCAACATCGCAGACTTTTCCATAAGTATAAAATTGTACTTTACTACTCGACTGAGTGCTCTATCCGCTGAAGTTGAAAAATTACGATTTGGAAATTTCGAGGCAAAGGTTAGTCAATTCATTTAGGCGAAAAATCTGGTTTACTTCCATAGTCTTTTTGAAGCAGGACGTATAAATAGCGTGTTCGAAACACCTTGTCTAATAAAATGTAATACTCGTGCACTGCATGCAAAATGCCCCGTCTTTGTTTGACGCTAATGAGTTTAATAAAATAACCTTCGAAAAATTTAAACTTTAAGGAAGTCGGCAAAATACTTTAATTCCCGCAGAAATTTGACTAGAAAGGTTGGTTTTAGGTTTCGTAGAAAATTGTAATCTTAGTCATATTTGCTGACAATACTTCGCTTCGGGTTTCATGGAGGATAAAGCAACACAAACATTTCTCGAGTGAAAGTTTTTAACAGACATAAAGTTTGTCCTATTGAGGCATGTTTTCTATCAATCATATTGGAAGCCTTTGTAGTGAATACAAAAGGATTCTGAAAAACGGTTAAGAACTTTGCGTGTTGGAGCGAGATTGAAGGAAAACGCACTTTGCTTTCTTTCGAAACCTCGCAGTTATTATTTATAGTATAAAAATGTTCAGATCATTGATACGCAGTTGGAGTTTCGTCAACATAAAATGGTATAAGCCCACGATTCTGAGGAAATATCACATACATACATACTTTATTGTTACCTCCCCAATGGGGCTTTTCACGAAAGTAGAATCAATAAAACGGCCAGAAAATAGTGAAGTTATTGACACGAATCGCGGGTAAATTATTTCAAAAACGTAACAACCTTTTCAACAAAGATAAGCGTGTACGAACGATANGGCCAGAAAATAGTGAAGTTATTGACACGAATCGCGGGTAAATTATTTCAAAAACGTAACAACCTTTTCAGCAAAGATAAGCGTGTACGAACGATATTACGACGGAATGCTTGGACCGTATAGGTTAAAATATATGACTATATAGTTATTGTGCCTCGCCACATGTATGGACCGGTCTTGGTAAATTATCATATTCGGGACAAAACGCTTTGCTGGATATGGCGCCGAACCGTCGCGCGGAAAAACGTAATAAGTCAATTTCTGACCTATCTAAATTGAAGATCACATATTGAGAATACTTAAGCTCCTTTGTAAAAGTGTGGTAACATATGATGTTTGTGTTTTCGCTAGACAATAACGGCGTCATAAATCCTACGTCGGGATTGACTTAACCGAGACCTCCTATCGCTAAAGATAAAGTATATAGATAATGTGGAAATTAAGCGCGCCATTTCGTATTCAAAGTCTTCTATAAAACTTAATTTGCGGTCACAGTGTTTTTTTCCCGTGTGCAAGTCAAATTTAGCTATCTGTCTAGGCCTAACACCCGAATCCCTCCTCCCATTCTGAGTGATTAACAAGCATTTTCTCCCTGCAACATCAAGAGATTGTGTATAGGACAAGTGATGAGAAAAAAGAAATCAATCAATCAGAAACTTCATGAGTCTTAGCAAGTATTATACCAGTTCTGAAAATAGCATTCAAGAAAACCTTTGTGGGTCAGCTGATATTCTGAACGTAACTGACGTCATCTTCGAGTGAACACCTACCCAACAAGATTCAGTTATCCTTGTTCTAAATCTTATGTGTTACGACTTGGCCTGGTTCTCACCAGCAAGCCGATACGACTTTTCATCTTACGTGCATGTCCCAATATATCTGGAATTTGCTTTTGAGATTGAAATAGTTTTGGCTGACCACAAATTGTGCACCACATCATCAAAACAACGTCCGTTATAATTAAGGGGGCAGCCTCACACCCTGGAATGGAATTAACTTCTTTCATTTTCCATCAGCAAAAGAAGAATCGTTTAATAGCTTTGGAAGCTATCTTTCTAATTGCTGTTAATTATAAATCGGGTCCGGCGTTTTAGCTTTTCCTGTTCATTGTGTTCTTTCTAAATAGCTTCTGTTGTTTTCGTGACATTTCGATTTATTTCTCGACACGCCTTGTTGCGTAGCAACTATTTGCTCGTATCACTCGTCCAGTCGACCATTGTGTTTTTCGAGATACGCACACAGCGAAAGTCAGCTCGTCGGGGCTAGAAACTGGACCATTCATGGCAAGTAAACCTTAGCTACAAGAGGTATTCTTCTTTAACGCTCAACACCA